CTAAACCCCAAATAAATCCGTTTTACCCTGGATAAAGCTTATACAGGGTAAACTCATAAATTGTTCACCCTCTATAACATTGATAGAGATGAACAGCTGTCCCGTCCCCCCCCCCCCCCCGGTATTAATGCATACTCTGGGTTAATTAATCAGTGACAAGTGATTTTATTAAGTACAGAAAGTAGGATTTAAGTGGTTCCAAATAATAGCAGACAGAACAAAGAGAATTACCAAGCAAAATAAAATAGAACATGCAAGTCTGAGTCTAATACAGTAAGAAAACTGAATACTGATAAAATCTCACCCTCTGAGGAATTCCAGTAAGCTCCCTTTTACAGACTAGTCTCCTAGTCTGGGTCCAGCAATCACTTGCACCCCCTGTAGTTCCTGTCCTTTGTTCCAGTTTCTCTCAGATAGCCTCTCCAACCCCAAGGATATCTCTTAAGCCAACTGAAGACAAAATGGAGGGGGTCTCCCAGGGGTTTAAATAGACTTTCTCTTGTGTCTGGAGACCCCCCATCTCTCTCCTATGCAAAGTTCAGCTGCAAGATGGAGTTTTGGAGTCACATGGGCGAGTCACATGTCCATGCATGACTCAGAGCTTACATCTAGCAGCCATGGTTCACCTGCTGCCTTGAACGTCCTCAAGTAGACTACTTATGTGGATTGGAGCCTTCCAAGATCCATTGTCCATTAAGTGCTTCTTGATTGGGCACTTAACTTGCACATTCCTTTCTCAAGAAGCTGACCAAATGCTTTACTAAGGCTACTTAGAAATCAAGCAAGTACACAGCCAATATTCATAACTTCGAACACAAAAATGATGCATGCATACAAATAGGAGGAATGGATTAGTAGATCATAACCTTTACAGAGATATGTTTCATGGCATATGTAGCATAAAACATATTCCAGTTATGTCATATGTACATTCATAAGCATATTTCCATAAAGTCTTATGGGGTACACCGTCACAGATGCTTTAGAAAATTTTACATTAAATCTAGTCACTGAAGTGTCAAGAGGGTTGTTACTTTTGCTTTAAGTGCAAATCACAATGCATCTTTAGCAAAGGAGTTGCTACCAATGTCTCCATAGTAAGCAAGACATGGTAACAAGTCAGTTGTGTGCTAAGGGGCTAACAGATATTATTCATAATGAATAATTCACCATCACTAATGGAAAGTTTGCATAGTGCTTGCCCTCAAAATAGTTGGTTTTAAGGAGTGCAATTAACCTATTACTCTCATGACACAAATTCACTATCTTCAGCCAAAACAAAAAAAAATGAAGAGGAAAAGAGGCAATGAATTTCTACAATTCAGTGGTCACATAAAATTTTTTCCAATACTTTAAAGGAACAATTTTTTATATATAAACTTTAAAAATGACTACATTATAATGAATGCTTTCTATTTCTCATGTTTTTCAGAGTTGGCTAAAAGCATACGGCTATTTGCTTCCCTCTGAAAGCCGAATGTCTGCCCTGCACTCAGGAAAAGCTATGCAGTCTGCAGTTGCCACTATGCAACAATTTTATGGGATCCCAGTAACAGGAGTGTTGGATCAGACAACTATTGAGTAAGATTTACAAAGGTTATTTTGTGTTTATCTTCTAGACACATCTTAATATAACATTCTCTGTGCCAAAATCCTCTGTGATTAAATAGTTATATGTGACAGATGTTTGCTTGAAATAGGATTCCCCAGGGGAATCTAGAAAAAATCTAGAATTTTTCTGTTGCAAACAGTTCTGTTTGCAAGTAGAGAAAATATCTATCCTCTGTACTAAAATCCTTTAAGTCCCAAGGAGGAATGGGAAGGTAGAAACCAACTGCAGGGTATGTTTTGCAGGGCTGTGCTTTTTCTCTTGTTAGAGGCCTTTGTCCTGAATTAATAGGTATTGTTGGAGTTCTCATGGATTTCAGAGAAGTCACAATGTTAGCTGCTTCGAGACTCCATTTTGAGTCAGGTGGAGTATTCTGATTCACCTATGGTCTGAGTTGAGATTTGCCTCAGTTTGGGAGATGAATCTATGCAGAAGCCTGCTCCAGCCTCATGGGCTTACATTCACTCTAAATTCTAATTTAGCTTATTCCAGTTTGCAGAGTTGGGAGCCTGAGGGCCACAATCAGGAGCTTTTCTATCCTTTCTAGGAGAGTTTACAAAGGAGTATTTCCTGTGAATCTCTTATGGGAAGTTGTGTAATTTATTTAACTTTAGGTGGGATCTTAATGTAAAAAATATACTTTTCTAGATCTGTAACAGAATCCTGAGTGTCTTCTGCTTTCACCCCCCAGCCCCCCACACTTAATCTATGCCATAGCCCACATGTAACGAACGCTGTCTGACAAAAATAAGCCTATCCCTTTCCAGCAGGCTTTGGAAACGACACTCTCTATCTCAATGGGAGGCAGCCGTCTTACAACTACCTCCTCTCTTATTCTTGTTCACTGCCAAGCTCCAGTCTAGCTGAGAGTCCTTTCTCCATGACTGCCATATAGACCTATGCAAATTACTCTAGAAGGGCTCACAGCATGAGTGGGAGAAAACAAAATCACCTCCTCACTGGTGTCCCAGCACTTGGGAACAAAACAGGAGAAAACAAACCCTTGCATATTAAGGTATAGATGTGGAGGGTGGTTTTTGAGATAACAACCTGAGGATAGTGGGCTTCCTTAGGGGAGGTTCAGCATGAAAAACCCACTGAATTTTTACAAAGGGTGTTGCCAGATCTTTTGCACCTCCCCAAAGATCTATGGTTGGATATGGAGTGTGCACACCACTTAAGTATCACAGAGGGAAACAAAACAAGTAGTAACAAAATTGTAGATCACAGTATTGTGTGTAGATCTGTATTGCTTTGTTGAGATGTTATTTGGCAAACAAGAACCAGGACTATTTTTTTTATTTGGGTCTCCTGCTCCTCTTCTTGTAGGTCTGTCAACTTAACAGTGACTGACTGTGTTAATGCACAGAATTTTTACTAGGGACTAAAATAAAGACTTTCTATGCAATCAAGAGGCCTATAACAGTAAACAAGGGAAATTGGTAATTCAGAACTTTGTGCAGATAAATTTTTTAATTTTGAGCTGTCCAGTGTGAAACAATATATAGGAAGCCTTAAGAGACAGAACTTGTTCTCTTTACATAGGAGTTTCAGGAAGGGGTATAAGACTAACACAGGAAGCAAGAATGGGATTGGGGTGCCACAACGCTGAAGCATGACTATGATGTCTAGAGATCCCAGTAAAAGATCAAGGCCCTATTGTGCTGCATGCCGTACAGACAACTAAGCAAATTACATCTTCTGTCACCTTCACATCAGACTTCACCATGAGGCATTCCCTGTCTCCATAGCAACTGGAGACAGACCAGATCATTGCTCTATGTAGGAGTTTAGGGCCGCCCTCCAGGAAGAACTCTCCAGAATTGTCTGTCTCTAGCCTCTCTCAGACCACAGACCCTAAGGGCTCCCTTTGGAGCAGAACTTTTCACAAGATTTGAAAAATATTTTAAACTAAATTTCTCCCCGGACCTGCCTGCATGGTCCTGCATTGCCGACTATGAGGATGTGACTTGCAGGGCCTGCTAAAATATTGTGTGTTAACTGCCCAATGTAGACCCTGCTAGCGTGAATTGAAAGTTACCTAGTTTGTGTTAATGTAGTCAGCCCCCCTGAATCATGGAGGAAAGCAAGGACCACCCCCCGCCCCAAAAGCAGCCAGGAGAAAGAGATCCCTCCTCCCAGCCAGCAAGTAGGCAAGTGCCATGCAGACACATGTTGTTAGCCAGGATGGGCAGGAATGGGGTCCCTAGGATCTGTTTGCCAGAAGCTGGGAATGGGCAACAGGGGATGGATCACTTGATGATTACCTATTCTGTTTATTCCCTCTGAAGCACCTGGCATTGGGCACTGTTGGAAGACAGGATACTGGGCTAAATGAATCTTTGGTCTGGCCCAATATGGCCGTTATGTTCTTAAGTTGTTTGCCCTCAGTGCCAGGTCATCCTGCAGGTCTTTGGAAATTATTGCGTCATTTGTTTCCAACAGCAACAGCCCTGGGCCTCTCCTCATTCTGTGCAGTCAGCCTCCATGCAGCAGGGCGAAGATTCAGGGTGATTCACATCCCCTTCTCCAAATAAAGCTTCGTTTTCCTTTTCCAGTTTCTAAGAGGCCCACAGAAGGTTATAAAGTAGCTGCTCTTTTCTTTATGTGCTGGATACAAGCCTATCCTTTCAGTCTCTCTGGTAATGCTCCCATGGTGTTGCCAGTTCTCATAATTTTATTGAGAATCTTGCAACTTTTGGTGTATTTCTTAAAGCTCAAGCTGCTAGAATCAAGATATTGCATGAGAATCTCAGCTTTAATTTAAAATAATTATCTAGCCTTCATAATTGTGGGGAAAAGCTTGGGAACATAAAGCAAGTGCCACCTTAAGGCTCAGAAAGCAAAGAACCACCTCAAACTTCTTGTTACCCCAGAAATCATGAGGTTGGCTTATGACTCATTTTTAAACACCTGAGGTTAGCAAAACTGCTCCTCATAAGGTCTCGCCCCATCTCACAGTCCCCCACCTCGGGTAGGTAAAGGAGAATTATTGTTGACAGAGGTAGTACAAATCTTAGTTCTCTTGTAAAATCAAACTGTTCTATTGCCTTCAAAGCTCTCCTTGAAATCTTAAAATCTACTGCAATACTCCTCTCTTAAAGAGCACCTTAAAGTTGAGGCTTTGAACAAGATACTTCAGATTATCAACTAAGGCTATGTCTACACTGCAGATCTTACAGCAGCACAGCTTTTCCGTCTCCTGTGTAGCCGCTATATGCTGGCGGGAGTGAGCTCTCCTGGCATAATTAAACCACCCCCAACGGGAGGCGGTAGCTATATTGGTGAGTGTGTGTCCTGTTGACACCAGCGCTTTTGTTGGTGAAACTTTTGTTGGTGAGGGGTGTGTTTTTTCACACCCCTGACTGACAAAAGTGCTAGTGTAGACATAGCCTAATTTTTTTTCAGAGTTAAGTGTAAATGGGGATCTAACTTTGCAGGCTAGATCTCTTTGGGAGAGAGGCATATTGGTTGGTGATATTGCAGTTAGTCTCAAACTAACCAAGCTGTCATGGCTAAATATGATTTCATTAATTTTGGGAAACCCCTTTCATTTGTGGAACATTTACCAGAAACAGAAAAGAAGCAGTTTCAGGCCATTGACAGCAGGCTCTCCAAAGGAAAGCTGTGGAACCTTGGGTTGGGAGAAAAGCTGACAAAGGAATCCTGTGGCTCTGTCTTTTTATGACAATGACCACATAAGCTTCTGCTTGGAGCAGGATTTTCCATTTCCTGGAGGATTGGGTTGCTTTGACTACAGACCAAAAACAACAAGGAGTCTGGTGGCACCTTAAAGACTAACTGATTTATTTGGACATAAGCTTTTGTGGGTAAAAACCTCACTTGTTCAGATGCATCTGAAGAAGTGAGGATTTTACCCACAAAAGCTTATGCCCAAATAAATCTGTTAGACTTTAAGGTGCCACCAGGCTCCTTGTTGTTTTTGCAGATACAGACTAACACGGCTGCCCCCTGATACTTGACTACAGACCAGTGCATCGGGGACATAGTGAGACCCATGAGTTACGGTTTCCACCTTATCTGTTTTTCATCCAATGTCTCTTGTCGAATGACTGCATAAAGCACAGTCTAATCTAGAACAAGGTTTCTCATCTCCTGGTTATGGGAGTAATATGGAGCATTCCCTCAGATTCTTAGGGTTATACTTAATCTCCTCTCTTGTTCAGAAGTGTACAAAGGGAATCCGCACCATTCTGGATCTCAGAAGGCTCAATAAGTGGATGAAGAACATGAAGTTACAGACGGAGACCATAACTTCTATGGTGTCATCCCTGTTCCAGGGGGATTTTCTGACTTTAGTGGATCTGGTGGATGCATACCTCTGCATTCTGATCAGACTGTGTCATCACAGGTTCTTAAGGTTTGTCTAGGAAGGAAGCAGCATAAATCTCGGTGCTTCCGTTTGCCTTGTCCTCAGTCCCCTGGGTTTTCACAAAGATGGTGGTGGTAATCATAGCCAGACTCGGGTTACTGGATCTACTTGTGCACCTTCCTGGATGACATCTTAATCAGAGCTCTATCCCTTGCAACAGCACACAGAACTAGTCTCTGACTTAGGACTCTTATGGGCACATGGCTTTATTGTCAGTGTCAAGAAAAGCTCTTTGATTCCTTCCACCAAAATAACCCACTAGGGGATGGACATAGACACCTCATTAGCAAGGATTTACCCATCTCTAGAAGGTTCCAGAAGATTCAGAATCTCTTCTTACTGTTTCGGAGCTGCCAGAGGCCCACCATAGCACTGAGCCTTCAACTATTAAGCCTCCTAGTAACATGCAGACAGATCGCTCCGAAGACGCAATTACACATCGGGTGCTTTTAAAGCTACATCCTAGGAGTATGGGACAGCTCCCCAGAATACATGAAAGATCAAGTAAAGGTTCTGTCACAGGTGATTAACTCCTTAAAGAGCAAGTGTGTGGTCATATGCCTTCCAGATCCCTTGGTC